CGAGGATCGGGGCTCGTCGGGCCAACAAGCCGCTGCGGGCACATGCAGCGCGGTGATTGCCGAGCGCATCGACATGCGGACCGCAACCGGGCTCACCGCCGCCGCCACACGGAGCTGCTCCCAGACGGAAGGGGGAAGCGGAAGCGCCGGCGCAAGGCAATCAGCATTTCGGGCGGCGGGAGCGTGCTGCCAGCATCAGCTGGGATGGCACGGAGCCATTCTCCAACGTGGGCCCCGGACTGTGAGCGCAGCAGCGCACGGGCATTGGCGTGGAGGCCGGAGAAGAGGCGCTGGCAATAGAACGTGTTGAGTGCGCGAGCTGCCGGTCTCTGCCAGCCTCGAAGCCAATCGCCAGTCTCTGCCGGTTCGTTGGGCTTCGGATCGGAACGGGACACCACAGCTGCCGTTGGCGCTGAGAGGGTCCCCGACCCCAAAGCCTCGGAGCAGGAATGGGAACTCCCGACTCCCGCCCATCACCCTGCCCCGTCAGCAGTTGACAGCTCGCGCACGCACCGTGCCGCAGCATCAGGCCGACGCTGGCGCATGACTGGGAGCGCGTCGGCCCACGCAGCCCAGTAGGCAGCTGTCCGCCCTCGCTCTGCGCAGCACAGCCCCAAGCCCCCCAATAAGGTGGGCAAGAAAACTAGGGATCGCGCTGAGGCGACGCAACGTGTCTCCGGTGGCGATCCCGCGCACGCCACCCACTGGTTTTGCGAGCGCCGTCAAGCGCGACCGTGCCATGGCGCGGAGCACCGGTTCCGGCACGTCAGCATTTGCCAGCTGAGTGGCCGCTTGCGCCAACATGTCGAATGTGTCGAATGCATCGCCATCTTCCAGCCACAAGCGGTAGTGTTCGATGGCGGCGCCGGCCTCAAAGTCAGCGACTCGTTGCAGGAGCATGGTTTTGCCAGTACCGCAGCTCTGGTCCGGCCGCGCCAACAGCAAGGGAAGGACCAACAAAAACAACTTCCAAGCTCTTTCCGAAGTGATGCTTGCGTGTGGGAACGGGTTGAGAAGGGCTCGCAGCGCAAAAGTGGATGCGCGACGCACGCCCGGCGCCTGGAAACGAAGGACATCGCGGAGCGGCTGGAAAGGAGTTGCAGATTCTTCGTGCAAGCAAACGCCATCGAACCATTCCCACGAAGCCTCGCGGTGCGCTTCTAGGCTTTGTGCGCAAATGCACGGGACACCAACATAGTGTCGACTGCCTTGCTTTACGCCCGTTCGAACCCAAGACTACGGTCCTAACAAGACATCGGGAAGGTGAGGAAAAGCGTATGCAATGAACGGCTCGCCGTTAGCTCTACAAGCTGCAGTGGGCTCTGGTGAACAGAGACTGCCACCCCCACGTAGCTTGCAGTTGCACTGGGATCGCGCTCGCACGGTCAGGGTGTTTATTTTTTTGTTGTGGCCCCTTTTTGCTCGGGCCCCGTGTCAGTGGTTTCTAGAATTGTTTTTGCTGTGGTCCCCGGGCGTGCAAAGTGTTTTTTTTTTGTTTCGCCCCGTTGGGCGACGCGACCTTTCGGCGGTGCCAGAGCAGCCCCCGGCGGAAGGAAGGAGAAGCCTCGTTGGGCGCCTGCGCGGGGCCAGAGCAAAAAAAAAAACACCACCCAGTGTGTTTTTGTTTGCTGCGGCCCCGCTGGGTGGCAGGGGAAGGAGAAGCCTCGTTGGACGCCGCGACGTTTCGGCGGGGCCAGCGCAAAAAAAAAACACGACCCACTGTGTATTTTTGTGTACGGCCCCACTGGGTCATTGGGTGCCGCCAGCTTGCGGCGAGGCCGGAGCCAAAAAAACAAAACCACTTGTGGTAGTTTTATTTTGGTTTGGAACTATTTTGTGATTTGTTGTGGCTTGGGTGGGTTTGCTAGAGCGCTATTTTCCCCGGGTTTTCGGTATGAGAACATACATGTCCGTAGTTTTTCCTGCCGAAAACATTATTTTCCCTACATCTTGCACGGATTTCGTGCCATTTCCCTGTGGTTTCCGTTAGGAAAACGCACACTGCCTTGGATTTTGCTGAGAAAAAACTGCTTTCCTGACAGTTTGGACGGATGTCGTGCCATTTCCCTACGTTTTCGCGAGGCAAACCTACGCCACCTTCGTTGGTGTTGCGTTTGCTGTTGCTATTGTTGTTGTTGTTTGTTGATGTTGTTGTTGTTGTTGCTGTTGCTGTTGTTGCTGCCGTTGGTCCTGTCGTTGTTATTGTTTTTGCTCTTGTTAATGTTTTTGATTTTGTTAATGTTGTTGTTATTGCTGATGCTGCTGTTGCTGTTAGCATTGCTACTATCATATTCAATGTTGTTGCTGTTGTTGTTGGTGTCAGCATTATCATTGTTGTTGTGGTTGTGTTATTGTTCTTGTTAATGGGATTGTTACTGTTCTTGCTGTCCAGTATTTTAATCTGACTTGTTATAGTTTAAAAAAACATAGTATACTATACTATAATATACCATAACATGCTATAACATTATCAAACATAACACAATGACGCGACCCTTTTGCAAACAGAGTGCTTTTATGATGAGTTTTGGAAATCTCTAAAACAATTTTGTGTTTGATGCACGTCTTGTTCATGGTGCGATGTTCCTGAAAACAAGCCTGCACCGCTTAAAAACAAAGCGGGGGGGTTGGGGGGGGCGCAGCCACCCCCCATTTGCAAACACAACGTCTTTATGACGGGTTCTGAGAGGGTCCTCCATATAGGTGCTGTTTTGCTGGCAGGATGATACTCGAAGCGGCTTTGATCAGCCAAGAAAAACGGGGACGCACCTCCTCAAGGCCTTTAAGATGAGTGTTGCAAAGCTCTAAAACTTTTGTGTTTGGTGCAAGTCTTGTTCATGGTGTGATGTTGTTGAAGGCAAGCCTGCACGGCTTAAAACGAAAGCGGGGGGGTTGTGGGGGGCGCAGCCCCCCCAATTGCAAACACAACGTCTTCATGACGGGTTGTGAGAGGGCCCAATGTGGTTGCTTTCTTTGCTGGCATGATGATAGTCGAAGCGACCTTGCCCCGCATAAAAAAACTCTACATAATATACTATCATATCATACCATATAATGTAGTATGATATTATAGTAGAGTAAAGTGAAATATAACGAGGCAAAATAGAAAAAAACAAAAAAACAGGCACACACACATAATATATCATAATACAATATCAAAAAATAACAAACATTAATATAGATTTGAACAATCATACTTGACATATAAAAAATTAGTACAGAAAAATGTAGATATAATATAGCATATAAAACATGAGACCACAAAAAATGTAATATTGAATGAAACTTTGAAATATAAAAGGAAATGTTATATTATAACCTAATATTACATGATACAATAGAACACAATATGATTTAAAAAACATAATGTATTATAAAGCAAAAAATATGCAACAACATAATTAGTATCATGCAATACACTTTAATGCGAAATTATATAAAATAACACAGAACATAAAATGGCATAATATAGTAAAACTCTGTATGATGAAACAAGATATACTAACATATCATATAATCTTCTATCTCATGGCCTAATACAACACCATATACTTAAACACAATATACTCTAATTAACAAGGTTCGACATAATTTTGAAAAAACATGTATCATAAAATATAGTTTCTTGAACAAATGTAAAACAATGACGCACTCCCTTTTGCAAGCAGAATGCGTCTATGATGAGTTTTGAAAAGCTTCAAATCAATTTTCTGTTTGGTGCAAGTCTTGTTCATGGTGCTGGGCCGCGATGCTGGGGCGACCCTTCCGCCGGGCCCGGGTGGTGTTTTTATTTTTTTTTGCGGCGGCCCCGCCCCGACGCTCACTCACTCACTGCCCGCCTGGGCGGCGATGCTTCCCGCCGCGGTGGTGTTTTTTTTTTGCTGCGGCCCCGCCTGGACCGGGGTGGTGTTTTCATTTTGCTGCGGCCGCGCCCGGACGCTCACTCACTCACTGCGGGCCTGGGCGGCGATGCCTCCAGCCGGGGTGGTGTTTTTTTTTGTTTTGCTGCGGCCGCGCCCGGACCGGGGTGGTGTTTTTTTTTTGCTGCGGCCCCGCCCGGACGCTCACTCACTCACTGCGGGCCTGGGCGTCGATGCCTCCCGCCGGGGTGGTGTTTTTTTTTTGCTGCGCCCCGCCCGGACCGGGGTGGTGTTTTTTTTTGCTGCGGCCCCGCCCGGACGCTCACTCACTCACTGTGGGTTGGGGGACCCTTTCGGCAAGGCCCGGGTGATGTTTTCTTCCACAAAGTTTCAAAGGTTTCGTAAACTCTGAACACATTGTAAGCATAAAGATCGCAGTCTCCAATTATTTGTCGAAGAAGCAATCCTTTGTAATATAATTGTATTCTCTTGAATCGCAATATGGCACAGACCTCAATCATTCGCGCATCTCTCTTTTTCGCTCGAGGCGTACAAAGGGGAAACTCAACGTGCCGGCCATCAAGTTAAAAGATTATGCACCTCCCGATCTCGGATGATCGGCACACGAGGATTTGGGCGCGGTCACACCCCCCCCACAGCTGAAGAAAGGGTTGGGCGGGCGGGCAAAGAATTTTCTCTGCCCTTGATGGCCGACTGCAACGGATATGAATTGTTCGCATCAATGCTATGCACATGAAAACAGTCAAAGAAAATTCTTCATTCAATAAAATCATTTACAAAACGAAACCCTTCTCATTTCCCATGAGAATGTTTGAAACTTGGTGGAAAGGTTTAGTCCGCAAGCGGAAAACTGACTTCCACAAAGTTTCAAAGGTTTCGTAAACTCTGAACACATTGTAAGCATAAAGATCGCAGTCTCCAATTATTTGTCGAAGAAGCAATCCTTTGTAATATAATTGTATTCTCTTGAATCGCAATATGGCACAGACCTCAATCATTCGCGCATCTCTCTTTTTCGCTCGAGGCGTACAAAGGGGAAACTCAACGTGCCGGCCATCAAGTTAAAAGATTATGCACCTCCCGATCTCGGATGATCGGCACACGAGGATTTGGGCGCGGTCACACCCCTTTCCTCTTGCGCCTTGTGATGACTGAAGTCTTAAGCTCCTCGTGCCAAGCGAAGGCTTCCACGCAAGTAGCCTTCATCAACTTAAGTGCCAAAGCGAAGTCATCTCTGGAAGGGCCGTCCGCTATGTTGCTACTCGACGGTACACGGTCAATCCAGTACAGAGACGGAAACTTTAGATCAGGAAGGTCGAACAATTGGACTAAGTTGTTCATCCCGTCACTTCCACTTCCACCTTTCAGAATGGCATACCGAGCGGCGTCATTGTCGACGAACATAATCACTCGCCTGTTCAAGAATTGATCTTGGAACATCCATCTTACCGCCACTAGAACAAGCAACTCAATGTGGCATATAAGTTGAGGCTCGCCATCCCGAGCATCGAAGTCCTCCTTCCACGACTCAATCGCCCAAGATGGAGCCACACCTCCTAGCACATGTCCACACTGTTTCAAGGGATCCCAGATGCACGCACCAATACCCGCATGTCCCGATTCCCACGAGCCGTCGGTCCACACGAGTATTGATTCACAAGCAAAGTTGCACGACAAGACCCTGGGCGGCATCGATTCCAGCACATGCTTCACTCGTGCCGAAAGCTTCTGGAGCCGTTGGAAAGCGACCGGGCCGCGCCATTCAAGGAACTCCAAGAGATCATAACACAAGTGTTTCAGCACCCTTCCGGAATAAAACCCCGCAGCGAAATTCAACAGCCCATGGAGGACCTGTATCTGATGGCGGGTGATGGCTTCCGGTTCAGAGACCTTGTCAAACTCACTCAAGATTCTCTCCACCCGTCCGGGTTTGTTCCTGAGAACCACTAAACCTTTCTGCAGTTGCGACAAGTCCAAAGTAAGTCCTAAGACATCGAAGGATGATGAGCACGGCTTGCCTTTTTCGCCTGTGACGGCGTGAGACCACCCCAGCATGGTGAAGAATTGACTTATGCATTCATCTGCCTCCTGGGCCCCCTCTTCTGGCGCGAAGAGAGGATAGTCGTCAAAATAGCAAGCTGATGGAACCTTCAGGACTTTATTCGCGAGAAACCAGAGACACCGACTAATCCTAATGAACCCGAAAACGGCGGCAGTGGCGCCAAACATCAGCGCATTGGGGAGGAAAAATTTTTCCTCTCCCCCTGGTCCTCTGAAGTAGGTTATGCATAAATCTCGTTGATCCGGGTGCAATGCTACCTGCTTGTAAGCCTTGGTCAAGTCGAGGCATTTACCCAGCCATGCACCTGACCCATGCTTTTGGTTTTTGGCCTTCTTGGCGATAAGAAGGGCCAACGATGCTACGTAGTCAGCATTGTGAAGCTCCAAGCGGATGGTAGCGCTGTAGGCAGCATTGGTTTGCGACTGACAGGCATCATCGATAGGCCGATGTTTCGACCCTTGATCCAGCAAGAACCTTCTTATGACGCACCACTGGTCATGTCCCACCAAGTTTGAGATTTCATCAGCCGTGTACGGCCCATCTAGGAAACCCAGGTCGACTTCCTCCTGCGTGACCTTGAACAAGAGTTGAGCCTTGGCCGCGTCGCCGGGTGCATCATCACCAACAATGGCTTCCCGTCTCTCCTTGGCTGTATCCCGCAGGTCTTGCTCAGTTAGCGTAGCGGCTTTCACCTTCTTGTCGAAGCAAGGAGGGTGGGGTTCAGAGCCCATGACATGTACACCCTCGGTCAAGAACTTGACTGCCTCAAGGTCATCATAACCTTCTTGTTCAAGTAAGGCCTTAAGTGCTAAAATCTTTTTACCACGCATCACCTTAGCCACTGAAGGATGCATCTTACTGTGGAGGTCCGCCTCCTCTCTCTCACCCTTTTTGATCAGCAGCTGTAACTTAAGCAAGGCCAGCTTCCTGTGCAAAGTCACTTGCTGCGGAGAAGAGTTCACCAGAAAGTCGATCGCATCCACAGTGATTGCAGCCACAGGATTGTGGGTATCGAATGGGTGCTGCAACGCCTGCGCCTTTTCCACGAAAGCAGAAGGGGTGTGATACACACCAACCTTAACGAAACCCTTATTAGGGAGGGGCCTACTAGAACCCACAGGGGGCACCTGGGCCTCGGCAATAGGGTTGTTCGAGTCGCAGTCTCCCGCACATTCCCCATGGAACGAGACTTCGCGAAGTACACGCATACCTTTATCAACCTGAGAAATTGGCAGCTGGATTACCTGAGCAAATTCTGGAATCAGGGCGGCGTGCTTGCGAGTCTGACGCGACACAGCGGCAGATGACAGGACGGATAGGGTCGGCTCCAAACGGACGGCAGGGCGTTTGGCACGCACATGAAGCAACAAGCAACGGGCCATGCGAGCGGCCAGAAGAGCAGGATAGGCCGCCTCTTGGGCAGTGGCAAAATGCCAACGACCCCCTTTGGCTGTGATAGACCAGGGCTCATGCTGATGCCGCCCATCACACTGGGCGCTGAGGGTGGCATAAACGTCAGCGGTACACAGCAGCTTGGTCTGTTTGGGACGGCTGCCTCCATGCATACAGGAATGAAAAATGACGGATTGCAAGCGATTAAAGCAGGCACAGTCAGAGGCGTCAGCCCTGCGGCGCAGGAGCTCGACGAGGGCCGCCCAGGCCCAAGATCTGGCCGGATTTTCAATGGACACGACAATATCGCGGCGGGCACAAAACAAGGCAATGTCAAGGGAAAGCTCATAGAGCTGGTTAGCCTTTGTAACTCGGATGGCGTCAAGAGAGCCAGGAGACAAACTCGGCAAGCCCAAAGGACTCAAAGCATCCCTCAGAGGCTGGGGCTCTGGGGCCCCAGCCGCAACAACACTGGCTGGAAGGCGTTTCTCTCGAGCACGAGAAGCGGTACCGCATGGAACCCCGACATGGATGGCCTCTGGCTGCAGTTTAGCCACGAGATCCCAGAAAATTTTAAGGCCCGACGCCGAAGTCAAATCCAAAGGTGCAATGGGCACTTGTGCACCCCGAACACAAATGTCAATGGCAAGCACGCGAAACCCAGCTCGGATCCAAGCTTTAGAAAGCACCGCAGACCCCGCGAAAACCTCCAAGGCCCAGGGACGGCTATCCCGGACGGGTCGCGGAACTCTCGTAGCAGAAGGCAGCGAGAAACCCAAGTCACGCAGAAATTGAATGTCCTCAGCAGACAAACCCTGAGTGGGCACGCTGTAAGCCACCAGAACCTGCCTGCGTCCTTGCCAAGCCTGGGTCCAATGCCGCTGGGATTGAGCATCAAAGACAAGGACGTGATTTTGAAAAGGAATTATTCGGCCATGGACAACCTTTCCTTGGAAGCAAGCGCGTTCGGGACCATCGGGGTCCTCGACAACCAAGCCACCCTGCTTAAAATCTGTAATCGCAATGACAGCGTTCAAGCTGCCTGGCAAGTTATGGCGATCGACATGCACATCAGCCTCAATTTGAGAGAAGAGGGCAATGGATGTGAAACTATGGCACGGCAAGAAATGATTCAGAACTGAAATGCAAGCCCTGACACAATGCGGATAGGTTCGAGTGGTTCCACACACACCCGATTGTCCAGCAAAGACATAGGCTCCCGACACAAAAGATTTGGAAAACTCACCCCCTTGGCGGCGACCCTTGGAATCAGGAAGAACCTCAAAGATCTGCCCCAATTGAGCACGGGTAACAGGCCCCGATTTAAGGCACTCCGCGGCTAGAGCCTCGGCATCATCGAATGTCCGGGTACCGCCGACAGTGGCCGTAGAAAAGTCTTGCTCTTGCACAGAGATCGGCACGGCCCGAGCAAGAGAAGCCGTGCCCGGGTCCTGTCAATCGGAATGCGTACACTCAAAGTAGGGCTTGGCACGACCGCATCCAGCCTTCCAGCATATGTGAAGTCCTCTCTGGCATCGGCCAGCTTTGCCCTTCCATCGGCACGTGCCGCGGTTGAATCCATAACAGATGGGCTTATTGGCGGCATCTCGAGATACACAGCCCTCAGGAATGTCAGGTTTGGAAGGAGCTGCACCAGTGCCTTTGCCTGTCTTGCCTTTTCCGTCCTTGCCTTCTTTGCCTTTCTTACCCTTGCCTTTCCAAGCATTGCTATCCCAACCGGCAGGAGGGTCAGGCGGACGTTGGACAGGCTGCAGAAACTGAGTGACCTGTGGTGAGTGCATCAATTCTTGAATGACGTCATCAAGCGGCTTGGGCTGTCCGGCCGGAGCAGCAAGCCGACCCATCAACTTTTCAGAGGCATACATGAAGAGGGCACGGTCAGCCTGAATTAGCTGATTGACGCTGATAGGCGACATTCCCTTAGGCACCTCTCGCGCCTGGCACGAGAACAAATGCTGCACCCACTTCTCGATCTCTATATATGAGCACACACCTGCTAGATCCATTGCAAGAGATCGGCGGTTCCACGCCGCCTTGAGTCTAGCATCAGAAGAGGTTTCACACCGAAGGTCATTGGGCTTCGAATTGATGCGCATACGGCCGTCTTGGTCGATGTTGATGGTCTTATCCTTCTTCACGGACATCATTTCCTGGGCCCTCGAAACACAACGCTCAGGCCCTACATATTGCAGAATCTCGGACTCCAGTTGGTCCACAAAGAGATCCACCAGGCCATTAGACGGAATAGTCTCCGGGGTGAAGACCACCCCTGCAAGGCGAGCCTGCTGCGCCTGGGCACGGGCCGCACGCTCTGCTGCCGGGAGCTTACGCACGACATTATCAGCCGGAGGCTCCACACGAGTGTGCAGGTCTGCAATGTTCAAGCTGTTGGCCTCAAACAGCAACCGCCTAAGGCAGGACACCTGATACGGCGATGGGGCAGTGCTGAAAACGTTACGGACCCATAAGTCCACTGCAGTATCATCAAGCTGCGCGGGATTAGCAGACACCGCAAAGCACAATTTGCCAAACGTGGTGAATCCCGCAGTAAGAAGCTCTTGCAGCACTGGCGTAGAGATCCCCACCTTCAAGGCCCGTTCCTTGAAGGATGCCTCCGAGTCCAAGGATGCGGCAGCCATGTTGCTCAGCTAGCGTTCTCCTATCACTTGGTCGGCTAGACGCATACCACCTCAGGAAGTGTCGTGAAACTGCGATGTTCAGAATGGAAGCGTAAATCAGTCTAGGCCCACAGGAGCCTACCACCTCAGGAAGTACCAGATTTGACAATGTTTAGGACGGACGTCAAAATCCTGTGAGCACTCGGCTGCATGCGACGCATGTGGACCAGCTGCAATCCAAGTGCCATCGACTTTCACTGCACGAAGCAGGCACCCCTCGCGTCACAGAGATCCTCCCCCGCCGCTGACATTGACCGCACTCGGCTGTGGGTCAATCGGCAGGTCACGGAGAATGTCTCGCGATTCCATCCCGAGCTCCTTTTTCAATACTCAAGCTCACGAAGTTTCAAGGCACCGGTTACACTGATGGCAACACTCCGGGTTGACGCCTGCGATCCCTGCCTCTCTGGTCGCAACAAAATTTGAGGACAGGAAACGACCGCAAAGCAACGAGTGCTCATCTCTCATAACATGCGTTATGCCAGAAATCTTATGCGTCCAGCATGAACTAAGATCCACCCCTTTGAAGGGTGATCTGACTCTCACAGCCCCCGGCACCTGAAGGTCCTCGGTCGGCTCATCGGATCCCGAGCTCAAGCTACCCACCTCAGAATCAGCGGCTTCTGGTTCTGGCTCTCCTCGGGGCTCACGTCGAGACGGTTCCTTTGCTGCCTCAGTATCGTCCTCACAAGGTTCAACCCGAGACACTTGATGCGCAATGGATTTCATCCTCATCACAGCACTCATATCAGGATCAAAAAGGCCGGAACGAACTGTGGCATACATCCCAAGGACCTTTCCGTACAAGGCCACGTACGCGTCCTTGCTGTAAACCACCACCGATTTGTTCTCCTGATCCAGATGATGTCCCAAAAGCCGTCTTTCAGGATGAGTGAAGGTGACTGGGTGGGACTTCCCCGCCCAACTTAGCAAAGTCCTCTTCATAGAATGAGTCCCCAACTCCCGCAGCTCTCCGTAGCTTGGGTCCATGCTTTGAAGAAACTCGCGGAGATAAATGCTGGCTTCCGACGCTGACATTCGTTGCGAACCCCAGCAACCTTTCCTTTCACAAAACGTGGGCAGAAAAGGATCCACATCAGTCAAGCCTTCAGCAGTGCGTGCATCGAACCAAGCTTTTGCCCAAGGTAACCCTGAAACGCCAAGTCCCACACCCACGTATGGTAGCAGAGTGGTTTTGGCCTTGGCGGTCAAGGTCGTCTTTGAAGTTAGGGCCTCACCGTAAATCAGGACTTCGCCCGATTCCTCGTCCACCTCCAATTCGATGTGGCGAAGGGTTTGCGAGTCTCTCCACCTTGACCCTGAATGCATACACCACAACAGCTGTCCCGAAATGCAGGCATGCCTCGAAGAAGCACGCGTGGTGAAGAGCTCAAGATGTTCCACCTGCTTCCTGGTTAAGGCCTTCTTCTGCCTCAGCGGAGCCTTGGCCATATGCATTTCCTGAGCAACACCACGGCACCGGGCCGACATCACCTCCTCGACCTCAATGTGAACCAAACTCACCACCGAATCTAAGAAGCGTAGGGCTTCAATCAGATGGCTTCCTGATGTAGCCCCAGCGGACTTCTGAAGATCACATAGGTAGTGATACAGATGCACCTCTTCAAACCTCAAGGGGGATGCTCCCTCTCGCATGCACCAGCTTGCAAACTTACACAATGACCCAGCCCTCTTGTGGATGGTGCTTGCAGCCTTGGATGCAAAGGCATGGGAGAAGGAAGATGAAATTTCCTCCTCTGTGGCCAAATTTTCGACATCACTTGCCAAACTTCTTCCTAACTTTGAAGCCAACGGATCCAGCATGACCAATGTACGGATTCGAGCAAGAGCATGCACCCTCAAGTCCTCGTCCGACCGTTCAACTCTAAAGTGGCGAAGCCTAGATTCAACCACCCACGCCAGCACTGGCTCTGGCTCTCTGACACCCAACGGCGAGTTGAGTGGTGGGTTAAGTACATCAGCTAACCCGACTGAAGGTCTGGCCCTATTCAAGAAACTAGTCGCAGAACCAATCCCAGGCATCTTTAAGGCAAAAGGTCCGGAATTCCAAGGTTGCGCTGGAATGCTCAAGCGCCTGCGCTTCACATCAAACAAAACTGCATCCACCTGCCAGGCATTCAACTGTGGGTCAGCGGAGCCAGGACCTTGAAACCTCACTGGAGAGAGCATAGGCAGAGGCTCCAAAGTTGGCAGGCAGACCTCACACGGTTGTTCAGCAGGCACAGGCAACTCGGTGTCAAGACCTTCACCTAAGTCAGAGGGCTCTGCAGGCCAAAGATGCTCAGGCTCATCTGACAGATCAGCCACACTCTGATACCAATTAGCCTCCTCATCAAGGGGCTCAAGGCTAGTCTCATGTTCTGAGCTGTCACGAAGCAAGTCAAAGATTCCACGATGCTCCCCCGAAAATTCAGATGCAGACTCGGGTCCTTGCTCGGGGTCTAGTCCGGAAATGGACAACTCATCGGGCTCTCCCCCTAAAAAAGATGAGAAGTTGGACATGGCAGGTACTGGCAATCAGTTCTCAAGAGAATAATCGTCTGAGTCACTGAACCCTGCAGGGCAACGCCAAAGCAAGCTATGCTGTAGTCGAAGGCAAACACAGGTCACGCGCAACACGCGAGCGCGGCGTGTTCGCAAGCAATCTACGATGGCTTGCCAAATCACTGGTATATGAACAATCAAGAGCACAGAAATGGATGATGAGGCCTCCGCACGCGGGCCACGGCTCGCAGACAACGGCCGCCGACGTACTTGATTGTACCGAAGGCAAATGTCACGGCTCTGGTCCATCCGAGCCCCTGCGGGGCTCTTGCACGGCGCTCTAAGAGCAACACCAGAATACGGAGGACCCGGGCCTGCTAGAAGCAGCTTACAAGCCTCTAGAGAGCCCCAAAGAATTTTCTCTGCCCTTGATGGCCGACTTGAGCCAAAATGGCAAACTTGGTGGAAAGGTTTAGTCCGCAAGCGGAAAACTGACTTTTTTGCTGCGGCCCCGCCGACCTCGGCGAGCCAATAACAAAAAATGTCTGGTGTACTACCTCGGGTCTAAAAAGACCCGGCGGGGCCACAGCAAAAAAAAACACCACTTCTGCGCTCGCACTGGTCGCAATAAGTGTGCGTTATAAAAAAAATTCTGCTGGCGTGCCAACTCTCCTTGTGAGTGAGTTCTGATCCAACCAACCATTGATCGCAGCATCCGCCTTTGCATGGACTCACGATTTAATTTCAGACACACCTTCTTGCCACAAGTACAAGCACGGTCCCAGTGCACCGGCAGGCTACAGCGCACGAGACCTATACGTCCGTGCTGGAATTCGGCTGGGGGCCGCGGTGTCAAGCCATCGCTCGTCTTGCAAAATCTTTCCTTTCTTTTCGTACAAAGCTTTTGGACCAGAGGCGAGTCCAGCGTCGGTCCGCCTCCTGCTGCTCGAGCTCCGAGTCGCGCTCAGAGCCGACTGGGCTCTGGTGGCTGGTGGCCCGCCAAGAGCTCCCCTAGCGGGACCTCAACGCCGTCGGTTGGGTCACGGGGCCCCTCGATGGGCAGCTCAAGCAGCGAAAGCATGTGCGCGCAGGGCAGCGAACGATGCAAGCGCCGTCCAGCGGCGCATTATGGCTCCTTGCACCCCGGCCGCACACCACGACGCTCTTTGGCGGGCCATGGCCTTCGCAAGCCGTCGCAGGAAGGTGAGTGTGGTCACGCTGATGCGTCCCCGACCGACGGTTGCGTTGCGTCCACGGCGGCAGGGTGCGCTCACGCGGCTCGTGCTTGCACAAGCTGCTTTCGCAAACAAACGCAAAAAGGCTGCAGCTTCGGATCCCCATCAACCGCCGGTCTCGACGGCGCAAACAACGAAGTAGCATCGCGGTGAGCGCGACAGCTCGGGGTAAGTGTCTCGCCGCTCGTGCTGCGTCGTGTGCTGAAGTGCGAGGCCAGGTCGAGAGTCAGCCTGGCCGCTGCTCACCGGAGCGGGCGACAGAGCTAAGTGTCGAGAGCTAGCTCAGCCCCGAAAGCGGCAGGCCGTTGCAAACGATCTCATCCAGCGCGTATCGTGCACGGGAACAAGAAGATTCATGCCTGCAACACGCACGTTGCGCCCGACCCGCGCACCTGCTTCCTATAGCAGACCCGAGCGACCCCTCGCTCGACGCGAGGGCACCGGATGTGGCACAGGTCGCTGAATGGGTCAAGCTGACCATGGCAGCCGCAGAGCCGCAGAGCCGCGGAGCCGCGGAGCCGCGGAGCGGGCGGCAGCGCCAGGCGCAGGCGGCAGAGGAGGAGCACTGGGAACTCTGCAGCAGGGATGGTGACTGCATCGTGAATGGAGCGGACCATAAAGCAGCAGGCGGCATGTGGCCCAAACAGCATCGTTGGCGTCAGGCGAAGGAAAGCTGTTTCCCTCATCCAGACAACGGTGCTGAGCAAAAGTGCCCGTCTCGCAGTTGCAGTTGTTCATGTCCCTTCCACAAAAGCGTGAGTGTTGCAACTCGTGCCAGCTGGGAGGTCCCCGAGATGGTCGTAGCAGTTGCCAGCAACGGCAGTGCGCAGAAGCCAAGCGCAGCGGCAAGCGCAGCCGGCGGAGGAGCGACACGAGAAGCGTAGAGCAGGGGAACAGTTCAAGCGAGACCGATGTGAGAACACTCCGTGCGTGAGGGGGGACGAGAGTTCACAGAAAAACTTGCCAGGGGCTCAGGGCACGTGAACCGCCTGGGCCCGATTGAAACAAACATCAATGCGCGCGCCGAGTCAAGGTGGGAGGAAAGGCTCTCGCAAGCGGGTGCGACCCTGAACCTGGTCCAATTAGCAAGAGCGCCCGCCTCCTGTGTTCGGTGCGCGCGCCATCAGGCAAGCGTGGCTGCGTCGCCACGGCCTGCTTCGATGCTTACGACAATAAAGAGCCGTTACGGCAGGTTAGCATTTCCGGTGGGGTGTCTGAGCTGTCGCAGTCACACGCGCTCGCAGCCGGCGATGATTGGCAACGGACACGGAGCGAAGCTGTCGAGCTTAACCAGCGAGTATGCGTGCTGTGCTGCCGCCGCACGCCCCGTAGAGGCGATGTAGGCAACAGGTAGTGTAATGTTCCCGAGTGGCGGGAAAAAACGCATATAAAAAATTTGCAATTCGAAACGAACACAACCTAACTTGGAACCGACCGCGGACCATTCACGGTCGGAGCGGCAGCACCCTGGACCCCGCAGGCCTCCGTGGGGGCGGTGAGGTCCAATCACATGACACGCACCTCAACCCTGTCAAGCCAACAAATTACATTCAGGCGTGCTGCTGCTGTCAGGAACGTGATGGGCAAGGATGGTAATGGGCATGCTGACGCATGACCCGAACAGTTGATTCAAAGAGTCGTTGTGCATTCTGCGCAATCGTAGATGTGCGAAAACTTTCGATGAGCATGGAAGGACGCCGTCCTTCTTAAACTCGCAGACTCGGGATCGGTGTTTTTTTGGTAGTGCGTCATCGCGGATCTCGTAAGCGACACTGACGCGGGTAGTTGTCACAATGCTTCCACCCTTTCTCTTCGGACGATATCGGCGGGATGCCCTTGGAATTGCACTCGTGCTCCGCCCCGCATGCCGTGCTCCGCCCCGCTGCGTAAACCCCATGGGTGCTCCTGCTGCGCGGCGCGTGCTTGCAACCACGGTCCACCAGTTGCCGCGGCAGACCGAGCCTTGTGCTGCACGGACTTGTCTCGTCTGCACGATTTCTTCGCTGACACCCCATAACCTACCGGTCCGCAGCCTAGCCGCGTCCCGGCCCGCCCGTGGCGATGTAGGGTAATCGGTATAGGCAGTGACCTCATGAACCCGCACCTGCCAAGGCGAAGGAAAAAGTTTCAGCATGCTTCAGCGCCCCAGCTGGTGGTCAGCTGGGCTGGGGTGGGTAGATTAGTAGCCGACTCAGGACCGTTTGATACCGTATGTTTTGGCAGACACAGGAAGGCGTGAGGACAAAACAAAAAGCTTCAGCTGATTTGCTCCAGCAGATTCCCTTTCCTTGTTGCACGTGCATGCACCATGGAACGTTAAAACGAACCAGCATCTGGCACCGAAACTTTTGTTTGCCAGCATTTCCGGTATCGAATACTCCACACGATCGGCTGCAGGACGGAATCCCAGGTCTCCCCCTTCTGATGGAAAAACTTGGGGAAACAGGTGATCGGCAGTCGGATGTCCTGAAACTCCTTCGGCATACCAGGCAGATTGAGACTAATGCACTCGAGGGACTGGGACCTGTCATGGTTGAAGGGCACTCCATCCAACCAAAGGCCCAGAGCCACCACGTCTCTAAGACGAAACTCCTGGCAAAAATCCCTCAAGTGATCTCGCAAATCCGCCCTACTCGGCAGAGTCTGCTCCTGAAGTGCAACTATATCCTCCGCCTCGCTTACCAGCAGCATGGAATGGACCATCTCGTGAGGCAAAAAATAAGCCAGCTGCATAGGCTTCACAATGCCTTCCTTCGGGTCCCAGCCCTGTACTGTGGCCTCGTAAGGTTTCGGCCACAAACTAGTCTTCAAGGCTTTGCGGAGGAGATCCCTGTGCGAGTTCTTGGTACCTTCAGGTTTGCCGAGGTCCTGCACGTGAGCCGTCCCAGCGAGCTCTGCATGATGAAACAGCCTTTCGGCTCGCTTGCCGGAGACGTCGCCGCTTAAGTAGAGGTCTAAAGCATCCTCCCGAAACCGTCTCTTTTCTGGCACATTCTCCATGTCTGCCACAGGCCTTTTCTTGTCCATCTTGTAGCAAAATCTAAAGCCCAAATGGCTTACCCCTGCTCAATACACTGTATCGGTTCTCACGAAGAACAAAAGGATTGTGCGAAATCCCCTCCTGTTTAGGAGGGCCGCCGGGCTCGATGGAGTTCGAGCCGAGTCGTCTCAAAGCTACAAGGGGATAGGATTTGTTATGTAATGAATGCTTCTGCAAATCAAAAGGCAGCCGGCAGGTGAACAAGTATAGGAGGGAAATCCTAAACAGGAGGGTGAACCCTCCTGTGTAAAAAGGCCCTTAGGGAGTAGAATATGCACAGGTGCACCGGCAGTCCTTCAAAAACAAAGCCGAAGCAGAAGGGCAAACACGTTTTTTTCAAGCCCGCCGCCGTCGCAATCAAAATCCGATCGTCGCCAGATCGGCCTGGGAATCGTGGCGCTTTACATGCCAGCCACGGATTTCCAGTGCTTCAAGAAAGAAGAAACACAGGTCCAATGGTGATTGGCATCCGTGAGGAGCTTACCACTCGCTTGCAAGGGCCCCGTGTAATCGAAATCAGCAGCCGGGTTGCTCACGGTGCTGGTCAGCTTGGCTATGTCTGCTCGCAAGTTGTCGTCAGTAAAAACTTCGGAGCACACTGCATTTCAAATTGATGTCTGTGCTGATCTCCTGATACATCGTCTTATTCTTGGCGAGCAAAAGATCAGCACACTCCAATCCTTCCGTCTTGCAATTTCAGGAGTTTGCTTTTCAAGGCCCTCAGCTGGCTCATGTTCTTGTCA